TATTTGAGGTTTTTTCAGGATATGAGGTCACCTCTCTTTTCTGGAGGAGTCCAGTTGATGCTGAGAACTAGCTACTGGAAATGGAAAAGATTCTAAGTGGTTTGTCTTGTCCACCTGATAAGAGAGTTGCAATTACCTCTTTTTCCTTAGAGGGAAAAGCAGAGAGACGGTGACAAGGATAATTGCAATAGAAATTTGTGGTAGAGTCAGTCACTTGGTGCAGTGGGATGAAGTTATGGCAACTTTTAGAGATCACGTCAGTCAGGAAACTTGAAGTCAAAATTGAAGTTATTAAACTCTCAAATTAAATGGAGATAGAGATTATTATTTGTGTATAAGTGATTAAGATAATTGAGGTAAATGTCAGAGTTTATTTATTTTTAACTAAGGAATCTAATGTGTGTGTGTGTGTGTGTGTGTGTATTCCTGTATTAACATATTGATATTGGGTTTAATAATTAGGATAAGCTTTAGAAGGTCATATTGGAGGGAGGAGATGAAAATCGTGACATGAAAGGTGAGTAATTATTTTTCATATGTATTAAATTAAAGTTTTATTAAATAAAGATTTGCATTTTTGCTTCATATTTCTGTTTTTATAATTAGAAACATTTTGTAAACTAAAGAATTACTGAAATGAATGAAATGAAAATAATAATAATAAAAATTTGTGGTTCCAATAACCAAAAATGAAAACAATTAAAAAAAATGAAATTTGTACTTGAGTCGATTTTGGTTATTCTCATATGATATTGGCAGGAATTGCGGTGTACACATACACTAAAAAGAAAATGAAAATGATAAATATGTATCACCGGGTGCAAATTTTTTAGGGTACTTGTTGGTAAAAATTTTTAGGATGTCTTTAGATATGACATTATGATGACAAGCTTCATATGACTCTTAAAGAGGTTAAAAATTATAAATATTTAAATTAAAATTGAATTATTTATTTTACTCATTCATGCATAACATTTGCATAAGAATTTAATGCCTAACAAGTTTGTAATTACTCATTTAGTTGTGAAAACTTAACTTTGAATTTAATTTTTTGTTTTGGGAAAAAACTATAAATTGATATATTTGTAGAATAAATTTAGTTTACAAGAGGACTACTGCTGATAAATATTATGATTGTAGTTTCTTTGTATTGTTTTTTTATGGGTAATGCTATGATGTTAGATGTTGGTTGTAGATTTTTTCTACAAACTATGTTGTTATTTCTGAATGTTTTGATTTCTGTGTAATGTACTTTGTGATTTTTTTAGCTCTTTTATATATTTGGATGTTTTGAAAATTTTTGGAAAGTAAATTGAATGCTAGCCGTTCAACCGGAGTTCCTAACTTGGTTAATTATAAGCTATTATACCAGATCGTGAAAGCTGAGGTGGGGGTGATTTAGAGGCTACATCTAGAGGTTGGGAAAGAGATCTCCAAGCAAAACTACAAGTACCAAGCGCAAGCTAATAAAATAAAAAAGAAGGCGACTTTTCAAAAAGGATATCTTGTGTGGACCAGGTTGAATAAAAATAGATTTTCCATTGAGTTTTTTTGGCAAACTTGAACCAAGAGCAAATGGACATTTCAGAATCCTAAATATGTTGAATGACAAGGCCTACTAGATTGACTTACTAGGGGATTATAACATTTTTTCTACCCTCAACTTGACAAACTTGACTCCATACTATGAGGAAATGGAAGCTTTGATGGATAAGATTGAAGCTCTCCCTACCCCGGGTGACTGACACGGTCATTCCTTTCCCTATGGATCGGACGCGTGAAAGCCTTGTATCCTTGGACCTGTTCGACAGGGCAAAGAAAGGGGTCGACCTGACCCTCTTATGAGTCTAGGTTCGCCGCACATTGGAATGCGCCCCACTGTTGACCTCATTTTTGTGAGGTCTTTTCT